ATGTTGTGTCTAGAAATTGCAAAAGATGTTTGAGAGAAAAAAAAAAAGGTTAAATCGTGAAAACATGTTTAACTATATACATTTTCAACACGTACGTTATAGTAGAACTAACTATTTGGATTCATGGTTATGAAATGAAGGAGTACTAAACTCTAACAATTCAATCGAGTTTCATAACTTTTGGGATTAACAGTCTAAGAACCAATTTTTAGAATGAAACTTAGAGGATATACATTCCATTAAACATTTATAATGATTTGGTTTTTGATAAGGTTTTAGATGATTTTTAGATACATTTACAGAAGTTATCAGAAATTTTTTTCGGTTCTCAAATATACAAAACCATCACATTGGTCATCACAAATTACGTAACCTACATCCTCAGTTGGTTATATGTTTTAAATGTTTAGTTTATATACATTATCGACCCTGAATTAAACAAAAAATGTCTTCAGTTGGTTATAGGCTTCTTCAACCATTTTGTTATACATTTTTAGTTTTTTCAAAATGTAAAGTAGTGGCCCAATTTTTTTTTTTTTTTGCTTGTGGTCTCTAAATTTTCGGGGCCGATAATGTATATAAACTAAACATTTATATCTATAAGCGGCAATAGCAAGAGCTGGTAAGCATGGTAACTGTATCAATCCTTTGGTCAACGCTTTTGTTGTTTCGTTTAGAATTTTCACTACCTCTGGATTCTGAGATATGAAATAAGAAATATAAGATGGTTCGGAGCAAAAGCTTATCCCACCTTCGGGCAAATATTAGATACATGGCAATGTCGTGTTAGTAATTTGGGGCTCGAAGATGTTGTTTTTGATATTGGTTCGAAAAAACTTAATGAAAGCCATAAAATATATGATATCTTGGCTAAGTATGAGAAATTATATTAGTGTAGTCTTGGAGCGAATGGTAATCTGAGACCAATTTTCAAGTTCCAAAATTACGTAAAGTTGCCAAAATATGGCAGATTAGTAGATTTAGATTCAAGTCTACCATTTTGTAAGGGTCATCGTAAGAGAAAAATTCGACGTTCTAATTGGTAGCTTAACTAGTTAAAAAATTTGAAAATTTTGGGTAGAGGGAAATTAATAAGTTGGAATGTTTTCAAAGAAAAAAATCTACCATTTTATTTGAAAGACTTTCACATAATCTAGGGTTGGGCAAACAGAAATTCGGAACGGAAATGTTCGGAAACAGAAATGGGACAGAAATTTGGGAATCAAAATACTTGTTCCATTCATGTCTCATATACAATTTTGGACGGGATAAGTACGGTACGAAACGGGACAGGGATAGAACGAGAATTTCCAAATAAAATATGACAAACGAAAATTGTAAAATCTAAATCACGTCCATCACATTTCGGAGAAAAGCATAAACCCATGACAATAGCA